CCCAAGAATCTGCTGCTGTAATTCTGCCTGCAGAGCCTGGCTGCTGCCCCGGCCGTGCGGCCTCCCCCACCTCTCTCCCTGGGATCGCCAATGCTGGTCGCCTTCCGTGTCTGCGAGGAGCTTCTGTGGTGAGCTGCTAGCTGCACAGAGGCGTCGGGTAAAGGAGACGGAGGAAAGGAGTGAGGGAGCCCGTGGGGAGGCCAGTTCCTGCCGTCGGAGGAGGAGGAGGAGGAGGAGGAGGTGAGCATGGCCAGCAACTCCAGCGCACTGCCCCGGGTGACTTTCCAGACGCCAGAGAAACCTGGGGAGGAATCATCACACAGGAAACTGGGCAAGTTAACCATCAAGTACAACCGCAAAGACCTACAGCGCTGGCTCGACCTGGAGGAATGGATCAACGCCCAGCTGCAGGAGCTGTACCAGTGCCGGGTGAGTGGCTGGGGCAAATCAGCCCCTCGCTCCTCAGTTAAATGGGACAAGTTTGCTTGTTCTGCCTTGCTGGAAATAGCTTCTCATCCTCAGTGTTTGTTAGGTACCTTATTGCCACCTGCTACAGCACCTCTCCAACTGGTGTGTCTGCAGTCAGAGAAGCTCGCACCAGTATGACCCAACTAGCTTTAAACTGCCTGGGTTTGCACCTGCTGCGGGGGAGTAGCTATTGCTCAGCAGAAGTAGCAGAACCTAGAGAGGTGTACCAACCCGGGATGCTGCTGCTTGCTGAGCGCCATGCAGTGAGTGGCTTTGCTGCAAGCAGTATCTAAGCTAGCTGGGTTAGAGTTACCAGGGTGTCCTTGTATCTTTTGGCCACAACGGTGTAGCTATAGCTGCTGTTTGAATGAAATGCTCTGGATAACGCTGTATCTGTAGCTGCAGAGTCTGGACACACTACTGGCATCAGGGGAAGAAAAGTCAAAAAAAAACCCAAACCCAAACCAACCCATGCTTAAATGTAGAGAACTTATGCCTTCATCTTCACAAATCCCCTGAGCTGTCTTCCTTGCCTGAACTTCCCTTTGCACCAGGAACAGTCCTTCCTAAATTATTCCTGCTTATCTGAGAGTTTTCCCACTAAGAAAGATCCAGGAGTGCCTAGGTCCAGCACTGGAATGGTACCAGTCTTTACTTGAGCTGTTGCAGGGTACCTGACATTTTTTTTCTTCAGGGTGGTGTGACATTTAAGTCAGGTTCCAGCGCTAGCTGGGTACACTGAAATTTTAACCTGGTAGTATCGCTCCTATTTGTATTTTGTGCTTAGGTGGATGGCACTTACACTGGGAACTTTCAGAAGGGATGGTGCTTTTCCATGTTTGAGATAATTTGTTTGGAGTATGGTACGAGACAAGGTGAAAGGATTTCCCCCATTGTACATCACAGTCTTAAACCCATTCAAATAGCTTGGCTGCAAATAGCAGACAATGTAACACAACATAGCTTTCTTGACTCACAACCCAGTGCATCTCCAACAGAAGACTCAGATGCGTTTGACAGATTGTGTAAGACACCTTATTCATGTCCTGGATGGGGACAGGCTAAAATGAACTGTCAAGTGTAATCTGCCCTGTTTTCTGTATTTGTACCCCAGCACAGTGTTAAGCACATTTTTGAGATACAAGGGAAAAAGAGCTGTTGATTGCTTAGTCTTCCACTCTGAGCATTAGCAGTTTCAAATTACAATCAACAGTGAAAGTGGACATGTTAGAGCAGTCCAGGAAAGGCAATTTTTGTGCTGTATGCCATGACGGTACAGAGAAGCTTTTGCCTGTGCCAGCTGATTTTCTGGGCCTGAGAGCCATAGAATGATCTCAGCTCCGCGGCTGAAGAGCCAAACTGCAGGAACTGTCTCTAAGGCTTTTATTATTGTTGTTTCTGTTGTTGTTTATTACTATTATCATCATTTTCTGTGTGATGGTTTCCTGTTTGATATTTGTGGGAACATACCAGGTTCTTATGCCATGCTGGGGGAGAAAAATAGTTAGTTTCTGTTTTCATTTATGTGATATGCAAAGAACATGCAGCAGAAAACAAATATGGAGAAAAAGGTCCTCGCTTCTGTTGCAAATGCTGGGCTCCTCAGCAAATGAGTATATCACTGCTCCTGTTAATTAAAGTTCTGAGACTTCTCAAACAATTTTATAGTTTGTTTAGGAAAAATGGCAAAGGATAAGAGCTCATAATCCCTTCAAGGCTTTATTGTGAATTTCCAGTTGTATTCTATGGTTTGTAAAACGATAGTAGTTAATTCTCATCTATATCTTAGGCCTCTTGATAATGCATTATGAAACATTACATAGCGTACATAGGAGCAAGTGTTATCGCTAGACCTAGTCAGACAGGCAAAACTCAGCGTGTCTTGGAAGCGCTAGAGCAGTGGTCCTGGTGAGCGAAGGCTGCTCAAAGGAGCAGGGGCAGTGACAGTGCCGCCTGCCAGCTATGCCTGCACTGGCATTTCAGGGACTGTCCCTGAAGTTAGCAGCTCAGTTCAGAGAGCCCTTAGCCTGACTGTTGAGATTTGCCGGAGATAAGCAAGGAGAACGGCTGCTGCTGATGTGAGTAACAGAACATCTTGCCTTTGGGGGAATTATTGAAGTTGTAAAGGGAAAATTTGGGTTTGGTTTGGGTTTGGTGTTTTTTTTTTTTTTTTTTTTTTTTTTGAGATAGATGAGAAGCACTTGGTATGACCTGTAACGTGACCCAAGATGAGGCTCCCTGTATGCTACTCTTACTTGCCCAAGTCTACAGATGTACACTTGTAAAGGTGCCAGAAAAACAAGTCAGGTTATGTTATCACTTCTGGTTTTCTGAGAATTAGGAGCTGTTTACTGTCATCAGGAGAGCTGCCCAAAAGGGAGATTTCTTTCCCTACTACAGAATCCCAGCAGGCACAAGTGAGAAATCGAGCCGTGTCCTTACAGGAACAGATTGCTGGTGGATTACCTTTGCTAGCACCTCTCCAGCACAACAGGTTTCCCAACTTCCTGGTGCATTTGGGCCAACCTAGGAGATTTGCTACCAGGAACTGTGTAACGTGATGCTGTGCCAGGTCAAAGACTGTTAATAGGGTACAACAGGGGGTTGCATAGGTTCTTTCCAAATAAATACGTGTGCCACAGTAAATTACTTGTAATCACAGGTGTCCAGCAGGTCCTCCTGCCCTCCTCTGTGCATCGTGGCAAGACTATTTAGTCAGCCCTGTTAGTCTGGGCTTCCTTGGATCCACTGACTTCCATTACACTGTCTCTCTGTCAGCTTCTTCTTTTGCTCCACTTGCCCTTGGCAGTGCAGTGTTCCTCGGTGTCTTCCAGAAACCCGTGTGACAGACATTGCAGATTCAAATGCCAGCAAGGTTAGCTCAGACATCGCCTCCTGATCCTGATAATCTGAATGCTATGCTATTTACAGTCTTGAGGCTTTTTGCAACAAAACTAGGACTCAAGAGACTGTTTTGATTTTTGAGATGATCCCCTGCACGTGGAAGTCAGCAGACCATCCATACTAGGACCAGAAAACCATAGGGAGTTCCCACCCTTTCTCACCCTCCTGGCCTATTTAGCTTCTTAGCCAGAGACAAAGTCAGGCTGGACCAACAGCCATTGTCCAAACAGGCACATGAGAACTATTACTTTTAAGAAGAAATGTTGTGTGGTTGCAGTACAATGTATTTAACTGTGTTTTATTACTTATTGTTAAGTCAGCTGTGTAACAAAGCTGAACAAAGGTTTTCTGCTTCCTCTCTGGCTTGGTACCAGAGGCTGCTCAGAACAAGTTTCTTTTTTTCCTGTAAGTATTGCCTTTATTGTTTAATGTTTTACATACATATCCATAAACGCTCCCCAGCAATCAAGTACTGTGCTGTTTACTCAGTATCCTTATTCTGCTGATTACTACGTTAAAATATCACTCATGTTGTGTTGTCAAAGATTCATTTTGCAAATAACGTTGGGAACCACTGCCTGCTTTCCTTACAGTCTTGTAGAGACATGGGGGGCTTTACAAACGTTTCCAGCTAACACCCCCATGCATTACAAGATCATCACTCCTATAACCAAAGCCTGGGGCCTTAGTATAAATACCAACTGTGAATTTAGCCTAAATTCTCCATGTATTAGTTGTGCCTAGGATTAAGGATTTCTGTTTGGTGAACACTTGTGCACACTCTTCATAGATGAGGGTTGGCCCAGGCTGGCTTACACTGCACTGCAGTTGGCAATTGCAGTTGGCTATTCTTGAAAGGGTCTTCCCACGATGGACAACTGTCCCTGAGCAGTAGTATCAAGTGTTGAGGTGGGAAAAGACAAAGAATGTGTACCTCGGAACGTGTGGCTGTAGCAGACACCACAAAGGGGCTGGAATCTGTGCCCTCTTTATAAATCATCTCAAAATAAGGAGGTTCTTGTATCTTGACTTCAACTTTGCAGCATAGTTTTAATGTAATTGGTTCTTTCTCAGCTGATCAGTTCTTTAAAGATGGCCTCTAGAGTTCTTAGAAATGTGAAGGTTTACTATGTTTTTTGATTTGTGGTTTGTGTTTTTTTTTTTTTTTTTTTTAGCTAAGAGAGGAAACAGAGGCAGCAGCTCCTGAACCACAAATTGATCTTGAAGATCTCCTGGAGGTCCCTAATGAAGAACAGAAATTAAAACTACAGGTCAGATAGAAGGACTTGGTGACTTTTAGTTAGGGACTCCCTTCATAAAGAGAAGTAGTGGTGTGTGGGGTACAAAATATGTATATACGGTGTTGCATGCTGCTTCCCTGTGCCTTAGCCTGTCAAATGTAGTGAGATTATATACCCTTTTTATAGCAAGGGGAGAATAGGTCAGCTCATAAAATACTAAATTACTCCTCCTTGGTTTCTAGGAAATCCTCCATGAGTGCTCCAGCCCCACAGAGGTGAGTGAAGCACCATCAATATATGTGTGTTATACTGTGCTGTAAGAGTGTGTCTCTGTTGCTGCTTGGCCAAATAGCCAAGATACTACTATGCCTAACATGATGCTGCAGATTTGTTTAATTCCCAATGGGAGATGTTTGCCACTTTATTCTGCTGTGTTAGAAAAATACATGTAAATCTACATGGATGAGCTGAATGCAGAGCAGTGGAGCAAACAAGGAAGTATGCTTTACAACCAAAGAAAGTTCATTCCATGTTTTGGACATCCTAAGATCACCAGGCTGAGTTGCTATTTGGTCTTCAGTGTAGAAAAGCCATAGACAGTGATACAGCTCACATAACTGTCTTGCACACTGTTAACTAAATGCATTCTTAGCTTAAACCACGCTAGTGTTAGGAGTGACAAGAATGTAGGATGGCCCTCAATTGGATCAGACAGATAATTGTTGAGCAGTACCCACATAAATTAGTTTTATATATTTTTCTTTTCCCATGTGAACTTTACAAATACTGGTTCTGAGTTAGAGAGTTAAAGAAATTCCACAAACTGCCACAATGTCCAAAGGAGTGGAGCCCCATACTTAGCAGCATAGTGCACAGACCACAGAGCAGTTGCCTTCAATGAGCTGCATACCTGTGCAAAACGGGGCACCTCTCACTGCCTCAGTCACACGCACTGCATGTGAACGCTGTGCCTGGACACCGTTCATCAGCCTTCACATCCTGTCGAGCCTCTGTAGCTGTACGGCGATGAACGCGCAGAAAATGAGGTGGATGCATGACCATCACCGAAATTAAACTCGGCTGCAGCAGTGATTACAGATAGTCTCCTAGCAGGGGTTCAGCTGACAAGGCTGGCAGAATGAAAATAGTTTTGTGTCTGAATTTCAGATCTTGGGTAAGAACCCCACATTCCCAGAGAGATAACTGAAGAGTTTGTGCTACTAATTCACAAGCCATGAAAGTGTCTTGCAGACAGCATGTTACTTGCCCACTACAGTTACTGCTGTCCCACTGGCAAAAATATGTACTTTCACCCCGGTAATCCTGAATCCAGTCCCCCTGAAAGATCACAGCAGTCTATTTGCAGAAAGCAGACAGAGGAAAAACTGGTTTCCTCTGAAGGAACTGACAAAGGTGTGTGTGATCCTAGGCATTTACCTCCAGAGCATGCTGTGACAAGCAAGCTCTGATCACCCAGGTGAGGAAGCTGGGCTTCCCCACAGCACAAATGGTAACAAGCTGCAATACTTCCAGTGACCTTGCCTAATTACAAGGACATGTAGCTATCTCTTTGGGTGAAGAAAGGCTGTATGCTCCTTTATAGTGATGTTAGCTGTCACACAGAGGGTGAAGTTTGCACTGCTCACATTGACTTCTGCTTGGAATAACCAGATGGTCCAGTTTAGTTCATAGTCCTTGGCTGTGTCAGCAAAGTAGTCGGGGTTTATCTCCATTAACTGCTCATCCATCTGCTCTGCCTGTCCTCAACCCCTGCTCCAGGTTATCATTAGTCCTATGTGTGTTTTGCTCCACCTCTATTCTGTCAGCCACTTCCTTGTAGAATTGGCACAGCTTTGGGATGGTTTGCAATCCACACCATGGATCTTTACAGGTTCAACAAGAGGGACAGCTTGCTTTGCCCTAGATTGGGAGGGCAGCAGAAGTGGGCAGGAGGTTATGGTGGCAACAGGAAGGAGTGGAATCTAACAGAGGACAACAGCATCCCAGGTCATCTCAGGGTGGAAAAAGCAGGTATCTGGGCTGAAGAAGGGCAGGCTGGCTCCTGGGGAGAAAGTGAACGTGGCTGCTGCAGAGGATGACAGTGGAAGGGAAGTAGAGAGGCTTTTAAACCCTTCTCATCCATCAAAAGGTCTCCTCTCCTAAGCTAAAAGATAGGTTTGCTCAATACATACGAAAATTCTGGTTTCTGTTCAACATGAAGGCGAAGGTGGGAATAAACCAAGTGCCGTAGTACTCTTTGGGCTGGCAAGCACTGGAATTAACATGATACCCTTCTTCAAACAATTCTCATTGTAGGACTTCATTACGGAATTGCTTAGTCGATTGAAAGGTCTCCGGAGAGTCACCAATCCTCAGAAGAAATGACCTTGCCCACGTGGAACAACCAGCTTCGGTCACAGGGAAATGTGTATCTTCCCCCCCAAAAACCAGGATCAGCAACATCACTTCAGAATATGTTTAGGACTTACTGTTATTGAGAAACATCACCAAGTTTGTGAACTTTGTACCAGTGGTTTGAAGTCTCCACTCCTTCCAGATCTACGCACAGAGCAGGGAACCAGATTGTACATTTTCCTGATTCTTAAAGGGCATGTTAACCTGGGGAAGAGGACAAGACGTCATTCCTTTAGTTTCTTCTAGGAATTTCCATGCTGGCTGAGGAGCACTGAACACAATTCTCAGGAGCTCATCAAGACTTCTTTCTTTCCGTACACTGTAAGGAAAACAAGGCATTGGTTATCACTCATTCATCAACATGGAAAATCAGTTACTGTTAAGATGCACCCTGTTTCAGTCTGGCTGGGGCCCAGCTGTGATCTGACTGTTACTGCTGTACCTGACTCCACAGCGTTGCAAGTACTTTGTAAGTCTTATTAAGCCTCTGTTATTCATGAAGGTTGGACAGAAAATATACAGTAGGATGGAAGGAAAATGTTCGAGCGCACCTGGTCTATTTAAGGGGAAGTTAGTGAAACAGCTGGTAAGACTAATGGAAGAGAGATTGTTTTTCCTTTTTGTGGAATTTAGGACTTAATGATTTAGAAGCGTCTTCTAAAGAGCAAGGTCTGGCAATGATTTTTCTCATAATTTAAAAAGATGTTGGAAAAATGCTTATTTTGTATATTAAAACAGAGAAAACCAGCTGTGCACTGCTTGCTTTTTCTCTCTTTTTAGGCACTAAAGAAAAACTGAACTGAAAAATACCTGCTCCCAATTTTCCTGCAGGGAGCATCTCGGAGCGAGCCTTTTGCAAACAGGTATGTCCCACAAATGTGAAATGAAGTAGGACACACTGTCTTGCTGAACAAACTCTTCTGGCTACAACTAATGTGTGGCTGGAAAAATACAGAGGAAACTACATCCAGCCTCTCAGCAAGTCAGTAACTTGACACATCTGGCTAGGAAATAAGCCAGCAAATGGAGGTTGATTGCTTCAGCAGAGCAGACTCTCACAGTGTCCTGCCCCTACACTCTCATGCCTGCCACTCGAACACCAGAGATGAGTTGCTGTGCCCCATCCAGAGGGGCTCCTCTGTACCAGCACGTTCAAAGCTAGCTTTTGAGTATGTTTTGTCAGACAGGGACAGGAGGGCCCAACTCTGGGACAAAAAGGACCTGCAGATTAGCGAACAAACAAGAACTCTTGGGCTGTACGATGTAGTTGGACTAAAATACGTTTGTCTTTTCACCTTTATCAGTAACAGGGTGATGACTATTACCTTTTGCTTCCCTCCTATTTTCCACCAGAAGTGTCAGTGAACAAGCTGTGGTCTCTGCACATCTCTGAGAGGACAAAATCCAAGCTGCACTAACAACTGTGATGTAAGGGCAACAGCCTCCTGGAAGTTAGCAAGCCATGCAGCTCGTATCTTGTCCTAAGGCTGCTCCCAGAAGCTCTAAGCCTCCACCCACTGGGTTGGAGAAATGGCCTTTCTTTTTCAGGTTCACATATATGACTATGCTAGCCCTAGGGACATGCCATTTTTGGCTTAGTAAGGGGATAAGAGGGCATGCCTGCCCTCCTGAAATCTCAACGTTGTAAGTAAAATAACAACAAAATTAAATCCAGAGCTGCACTGGTTGAGGATCTGGCGTTGCTCATGGACTGACACCTGCTAAGACTCCTATACCACACCTCTTCAGGAAGGAGAGCAGCACACCAACAGAGCTATGAGCACTGTTAAAAACACATACTGGGTTCAAACTGAAGTTCAAGTGGAATATCTAGGTGAACAGGCCCTGAGCTGAGTGTCCTAAACTAGAGCTGTAATTAACTGCAGAACAGTAGTGCACAGAACTCCAGATTAATTATGTACCCTACCAGAAGGCACTCTCTCTGCTGTGCTGTGAGAGCACAAAGACCTGAGATGCCTCTCCCCTGGCCTGAGAGAGAGATTTTCTTCACCCTGGGCATTGTTCTGTATTCCCTCACTGGAGTGATGCAAAGAATTTTTTTCTATGTTTTAAGGCAGACATCGTTAGATCCCAGGAAAAAAGCAGTTTTTGAAGCCCTGCTTGACAGAACGTGTCCTTGTGCTTTTCCTGCAAGTAGCAGCAAGAAGAGTAAGCTGCAGGTCCTATGATGTGCAGTTGATTCTGATATGTAAGGACATCACTACCCCATGAGCGCTTCATGTCAGCACAGTGTGATCACGAGGGCAAAGCAAGATGTAGCCAGTGCTAGATGATTTCTCAGCTCGATGATTTTCTAGTGCAAAAGAAAAACATAAGGCAATCAGAGCAACTTCTTTTTATTTAGTTCTTCAAAGTAGTAAGTCATACTTGCTTTTATTTACTTCTTAGCTGTTTTCAGCCATCCATAGAGATATACTAACAGGCAGACTAAATAAAGTTTTTTTTTTTTTTTTTTTTTACAAACAGCTTCTGGTTAACTTTGCTGTTTCTCAGCACCGTCACTAGCATAAGGCTGTAATGTTTGGTATGCAGATACCATGAAAGAACGTTTCTTTAAAGGAACTTTGCCCTCTTGATTATATCAAGATAACTCAGAATGTATGCAAGTTCATGTGCTTTATTCTAATGGGAGGTTTATGAAGGTGTATAAAATAAACCTTTAATGCAATTTTTTCCCTTAGTTATGATCAACACTTATATCACCTTTAAAAATATTCTGGCCTCTACCTTTGGACACATGACCATGTTACAGCACTTGAAACAACGTGCACACCCCTGAACCACAGCAAATGCAAGTTAATGCAGTCTGTCTAAAATGAAACCTCTCTTTGCAAACTAATCTGAGTTCCACCTTGTGTTATTCTGAATTCTTGTTAGGGTGGAGCCCACATTTGATAGTTCACATACAAAACATTTTGAAAGGGAAAGAAAATCTTCTGCGCCCTCATGGCATGCTACAAAAACAGAAGCTGATTCTCTTCCTTGAAGATACAAACTCTCTTCAGTCCCTGGGTGGCTATGACTGAAGTTGATTTGGCCTGTCAGGGACTGATTGTTTACCACTATCTCTCCTTGTTTACCAGCACCTTTTCAAGGACTAAGCAACACAGCTAAAAGTGCACTTCCCCCTTAAAGGTCATGCAGCACTCCTCTTTCACAATGACAGATTGAGCTGGGTTTGCTTCCTGCAGATAGCTGATCTAGGTGCCCCTTCTACCCTTCCTACATGGAGGTCTCTGAGACAACCGCTACAGTGGGGATGGCTTTCCTGGGGAAAGTGGTTGGGCTGCCACTGAAATGGCCAATTACATGCAGAAAGCTCAGCAGCCACAAAAATGTCCATTAGTGGTAGAGGGAAAGCATCAGCATGTGTGTGTATGACTGAAGAGACTCTTCCAGGTATGACTAAGTTCTATTTCAGGTATTGGGTTGGGTACGTTTCTGGATTCCTTGGGATGGCCCCACAGAAACCAATCTGGGAAACTAAACCAACTGCTTCTGGCTGTAACCTGCTCCTTTACTACTGACGTGAACAGGGCAGGGCTTACAAGGCAGAGGCTGCCTAACTGCACAAGGAGCTCAAAGCTTGGTTGTGGCTGATGAAGCATTCAAAGTATTGCAAATTGTGCACCAACTTATACCAAGATATTAAAAAAAAAAAAAAAAAAAGAGCTGCTCTAAAGCAAGAATTCAAATGTCTACTAACTGCTTTGAAAGGACACAGACTGAAGCCCAACGGAGTGGATCTGTCTTGGAAGAAACATAAGAACGGGTATTTGCTCCTTCTCCTGTACATGTAAAACACAAAGGATTTAACCCAAGACAGAATTGGACTGTCTCCTATCAGACTAATTATCCAGGTCAAATAGCAATGAAAAAGTGACACTGCTACAATAACACAAAGCCAGAACAGCCTTGTTTTCAAGACTGCAAGATTCTCAGGGCAGTAACTCTCTACTTAAATTTTGTGTAACACAGAGCTTACTGTGAGCTCTTGTATCAGAACAACTCAAATAGTTTTCCTACCTACCTGTCCCAAAGAGACAGGCACTGGTGACGTGAGGACTGCCAGGAGAAAGAGGATCCTCCACAAGAATCAGGTTTTTCTACCCCTTCCTAACAAAGGGTTTTGGCAGCACTGCTTATATCTGCTTGCAATTTTTAGTGTGTTAATCTGAAGTATCACTATTCTGCACTGACTGATCCAGGTTTCTGTTGAAGGGCCTGATGCAGTCCAGTATGTTAGTGCAAACCCACCTTCAGCAGTAGTTTAACTTATTTGCTGTGCTCTGACCAGGGGTGGCTGAGGTGCAGGCAAACACTATTTCGTCAACTCACCTACAGAGGCAGTGACCTTAAGCCCAGGGGAAGGGCAGACAGCTGGGAGCGGCAGTGTCAAACCAGACAGGCAAGATTCACTGGAAACTCCCTGTCAAAGGCAAATCCTTGAGATTTTTGCCATTGGAATTTGTCAGCCTTACAGTGCTGTCTCAGAAGTCCTGGGAAAAGCTCATCCTGATGGGATATGAGGGTCAATTTAGGGCAAGTTTAGTTAGGTATTTGAAACAATTCTGAGTGCTTTGGTCATCAGCAAGTGCCACTTGCATCCGGACTGTCTCCAAGGAGGGATATGAGCATATTAAACTGAGCTTCTCTCATAGCCAGATAAGGAGCATCACACAGGTAACATCTGTATCCTACCAGGGGACCAAACAATAAGCAGAGCCAAACCCCACTTTCAGACTAATATACAACTCTTCCAGACTAACATACTGCTCTTATGGACCACATGGAACCTCAGCATAGCCACTGCAGACCACAATGCTGAGCATCTCTAGGCAGATTACCTTTACAAAGCATCCTTCGAGTACGTGAGCAACGCTGCCCACCCAGGCAGAGCAACCCCTGCACCTTTTCCAACCACACCACAGAAACGTTTTTGACGACTTTGGGGTCCTTCATTTCATTCCCTAAGCCACTTGACCCTAGGACTAACATACCATTACAAGAGGGCAAGAGTGTGTAAAGGGCTATCAGGCATTTCCAGGACAGACTTTAACCACGGGCCTCCATAAATAGTTTTTATTATGCTTTGGAAGTTCTCATCACACATGTGATCACGATGTAGACAGTTTTCTTAGTGCAAAGTGCTTTGCTGCCTCTTGAACCAATGTGTAAGCTGTTAGCAAAAGCAGGAAGTTACTTACCAGCCAGTCAGTACTGCCTTAAACACACATCTTTACTGCTACCCGCATTGCCTTACCGTCTGTGTTTTATAGACTCGTATTCACCTCCTCACATCAAGTCCTCATTTACCCCCAAGCATGCACAGCAAACCCTGCACTTCTCTGGTTGTATTTGTGAGGACAAAGTCACACACCCTCCAAACATCTCTCAGATTACAGCACATCCTTTAACTGTCCAAAACATCACCCATTTTGGCTGCAAATCCACTTGGCCTCTTCCCATCTGGGCGGCTCCTCTCTTTTCCCGTTCTTCATCTCTTTTTCTGCCTGTGAAGAGTGTGATTGCTTCTACTTGCAAGGAAGATGATAGCGGGAGGTGTGGTGGTCCTTCAGGTCAAACTCATCATGGCCTTCCCTGAGAAGCAAACACAAAGTGCAGTCAGAAATAAAGACCCAGGAAGGGAACTCACACTTAGCCATTGTACGAGATGTCTCCCAGCAGCCCTTAACTAGAAACCTATCCCAAGGTTAGCTGTGAGGACCCGACTGGCAGCCACGTGGGCTGACTAAAGATATTTGCTTGTAACAGAAACCTGAGGTGCTTTGTGGAAAGGTCTGCTCACCCTTGCTTGCTGGAATGGGAAATGACAACAAGTCTCTCTGCCTCTTTCCCTCTTTAAGAGATTCCTGTAACTGGTGGCTCATTTCAGCACCATGTCTGTGACTTCCAGGCAAATTAGTAACTCCTATGAGAACAGTCAAAATGACAGTCTGCTCCACACAACTCTGAAAACTAACTGTTGTGGCTAAAATGCAGTGTATTGGCAGCTGCCCTAACCGTGCTCAGAAGCAGGCAGTGCTGAGCAAGACAGAAGCCTGCATCTGCAGCATGCAACTGATACACTCACCTGCCAGACTGCCGATTCTGCTTCTACTGATGTCTGCTGTCTTGTTTGTCTGTTTTGTTTTAAATCATCTGACATTGCCAGTCATAGGTTTTCTTACCATTTTCATATGTTCTCTCCCACTCCATTTTCACCTCTCCACAATAATATTTGCAGGAAATGAGAGAACATACACAAAAGCATCTTTTACTATCCCAACCAGATTCTCAGCATCCTGCTGCCTAAATGTCATCCAGAACTAATCTGAGAACTCAGATAACTACCTAACATTCTGAGGCCTGAAAAAGAGAAGCCACACAAACTGTGACAAATAGTTTTGTATTCAAACGAACTAACCCTCCAAATCTGAGACATGCAACTTTTTTGTCAAAAAAATCAAGCTACACGTATTTAAGAACCAGGACTATAGCTGCTGCAAGGCCTGACTGAGGAAAAAAAGTTTACCCATACATATTTCAACAAAAATTTTTTTATATCGTTGAAGACTGCAGAGTCTCAACCTAAGAAAAGCCTCAGGAATTCATATGATCTGATTTCCCCTCTTATGGGAATCCAGCCAGATCACCCATCAATGTCACTAACAAGCCATAGGAGTCTCTGAACAATGGTCTCGCTTATCCCATCCCACGCAATGCAGCACATCAGCTGCTCCAGAAAACACCCAGACAATGTGCCCAAACATGCGCTGGAGCAGTACTGACAGAACATTTCTGTCTAGGACCAGTTTAGATCCTAAAGCCTGGGATAACTACTGATTGCAAAAAGTATTTCCGTAACTACTAGCATTCAGCTCAGATCTGGGTTCCTCAAATCTTCCCTCCTACTGCCAGCTTTTCTGCCCAATGGGAAGAACAAACAAAAGCGGCCAAGCTTACCCGTGACCTGCCTCAGACCGAGAGGGACTGCGAGACTTACTGAAAACAGCGCTGGCAGTAGAGGTCCCCGTCGCAGCCGTGGCAGCGCAAAGTGGCATCTTCATTGCAGATACAGCACCAGGGTAACTCATCCTCATCACTGTCATCTGCCCTGGCAAGAGCTGTGGTGGTTGGAGTCCAGCTCTAATTCACAAAGAAAACAGAGACGCAGAATTCAAACCCCAGGAGAGACGATAGAGGACTTTTATTGTAATGCATGATGGCCACGATGACATGTCACACAGTTCACAGGTCACGCTCTGTCGATCCTAAGTCTGTGAGATGAATGTGCCCAGAGCCCAAGAATAGGCTCCATATGAATGTCTCTAGATTGTTAAATAAAAACCCCAAGGTACTCCCTATCATTTGCTCATGAATCTATGTTGCTTGGAAGGTAAACAAATATTCACCCTCATTTAGTGTCTACAGCACTACACACTAACATTGTCCATACTGTGTTAAGGGCATGAAACCCAGATCTTCTGGCAGGCACCACAGCAACATCAAATATGACTGACAATCTCTGCTGCAAAAGCCAGCAGTTTTGTTGAAAGCAGTTACATGGGAAGGGAGAGCAGTGGGGGGCTTGTTTACTCCCTGTTATAGAAAGAAAACTGTGGGACAAAGGAAGTGATTTGCAAAGAGGCCCCTATTATTGATTTGTACCTGAGGTCGGGCCAAAAGGATCTTCTGAAATCATCATCTAAAATCTATCCATAAGGCCATCTATTGTCTCCTTCTGCTTTACAGACAACTATTGTGGAACTGAACAGCCATGCACACACTGGGACACGGTGTCTGGACGCTGGCAAAGGCAGCTTCCTAACACAACAGCAGTAAGATGGCACTACCTTTTACATCGGTAATCCCAGAAGCGCAAGGTGGCATACCTATGAGATGGATGTTTTCATTAATGCTTACAATTAAATAATTTCCTCTACCGGGACAGGCCTGTCAGGTGTCTGTGAGTCAGAGGTCCATTTAATTCTTGTAATATACATTAGAGAAGGTGTATGTATTTCCATAATAGGCTGGAATCCATTCTGAGCATAGGGTATCTTGTTACTAATTCCTTCCTCTCATGTTATATGAGAATACAGACAGTTGATTAGTATCTAGAGGTTCTACTCCGCACATGCTGAAAGCACTGGCAAACCTCCCACTTACCCTGGTTCAAGCTGTATAGTACTAGACTGTGGCCTTCTTGGTCTAATTGTATTAGTGAGTTAAAAATCCCCTCTCTAATACCCATCTTGTGAGGTTTATGCTAACTTCTCTGGGTTTAGAGGACACCATTCCATTTAGCAGAAATCCAGCCTGAAAGGAAATGTATTCCAGGGAGAAATTCCTTTTAAAAGTACATCTTTTTTAAAGTAAAGATGATGACTCGTAGCTGTGCTCAGGGCTGGTCAGCCCCAAAGAAACCACTCAGCTTGTCTGCTCTGGAGAAGTTGGTTAGGTTTTTTTTTTATTGCATCAAGCCTAGGATACAGCAAACTTTTGCTGCAGAACTGTACTCTCCTGAGACCCTGGAACACATCATTTCAAGAGAACCTGACCAGCTCACTGACCTTTTGCTTTGCTTTCATATGCAGGTTCTGTTGTGAAGGTCCTGGTTGGGTGGTCTGATCTGGAGGAATGTTGAATCCACTTGCTTCATCCAGGGCTGCTTCCTCTGTGAGCTGGTAACAACAGAAAGCAAAAAGCCTCTTGTTTCAAACACAGCTGGGAGCCTCATTCTAGGCTCTAAACCTCCTGCTCTTCTCCTTGCTCTCATGCAGTAACTGGAGATGACAAGGCTGAATACATCTGGTGTTCTCCAGGCAGATGTGACCTTGCTCTGTCTGCACTCCAAACAGTGTGTGTACATGGGAACAGTCAACGCAGCAGCAGGGGTGTTCAGCTAACATACTGTGCTTTGCAGTGCAGCTATGAGCAGACCCTCAACATCATGCTAATCACACATGCATGGTCTGCAATCAGGCAGAAACTTAAGCACAGAAAGCTTGTGTCTGCCTGCGAGACAATTCATAGCCATTTTAGAGAGAAATCTAGGCATAAGCTGCTCTAAATAGCACACATTTCATCATCCATGTTCTAGCTGGGTGGGGGAAAAGATGAAACAAGTAAGAAAGTACCAGCAGAGTGGGGCTGGAGGGGAGACACACACCACAAGAGACACTAGGTATGAATGAGAAAGACAATGTGACAGACTAGAAGTGATGCTGTCAATCGCCTGTAGCTGAACGGCCCATGGGAGCTACTATTGGAAAAGCACTTGGTGGGGAAGGAATGAAACTCTGCCCAGGAACAGAAACATCCTTTGCATGCTCACCAGGTAACATACACGCTGGAAATAACTGAGAAGAAGATAAACAAGGCCACAGCTGCCACTTCTGACCTGTTTTAGCACTCGGCGAATGGCTTCCTCCTCAGCCACTTCCTCATCGCTGTCAGGGAGTTTATAGGTTTCCAGTGTAACTGCAGGAGTAAGAGACAGGAGACTGTCACCCGCACCTGCCTCAAACCTTGTGCCCACTTAGGTGCCAGAGACAATCCTTTGTGGCATGAGCTGGTTTTGGCATTCTGGCTCTGGCACAGACAGATCCTTTTCAGATGGGGACTCCTCAAAAAGGGTGTTACTGTTTGTTTTTAATACTGAAAGAGGGAAGGGAAAAAATCCCCATCAAAACCAGAGCTTTGCTTTCTAAAAGCTTTGTTAACCTTACCAGAGCATGCTAGAATTATCTCAAAGGGTGCAACACAAAGCAGTCTGACCTTACAGCTCTGGCCTTTACCCTCAACTAAGATCTTTTATACTGACTTCATGATGAACCAACCTGTACAACTTTACAGGTAGAACCACATCTCAGTCTGTTTCTTGCAGAACGGAGGAATTAAATGGATAAACATCTTTCAGAAAAGAAATTACTCTGTCACAGGAGCTTGGTTTCTCTCTTGGCACTGTATTCTTGCCTGCTACCCACCTTTCTCTGGGTCCTCGCCTCGGAGTGCTGCCAGCCTCTTGGCAACTTGTAGGATCTTTTCCTGCCTAGTGTTCTCTTCCCGCAGCTCAGCAGCAGCTTCTGCCAGAAGTTTATTCTTCTCTTCCTCTAGCTGTTTTGGGTCCAGATTTGCAGGGCAAACACAATCTTCACTTTCCCGATTGAGATCATTCAACCTTTGGCTACTAACAGCTGCAAACAGACACAGAGAACACGCTGGTGACTCAGTAGCAATGTTCCTTGGGCACAGACAATACAACTAAAGGAACAGTATGAGAGCAGCTTGCTGCTCTCCATTAATCTGAGTAATAATGGAAGAAGGCATGCCACAGTAGGATCCGCACTGTAGGTGAAGAGTGAGCTAATCTGTGTTTTACAGTGAGATTAGAGGAAGCACCACAGTTAGGAAGATAATGGTATCCCAGGATCCAGTGTTTTGTAACAGAGCACAGGTGCGTTAGGAGTAGTAACGCACCCAGGGAGGGATCTCCTTTGAGAAACAGGGGAGCAATCTGAATAATACAACCCTGAGAAGAAGGAACCATCTCGAGCCAAAGAAAATGAGACGCAGTATGGAGTCGGATGGCTGCTCTTGGTCAGTCTGGGAGTCATACCTGGGAGATAAGAACAAACTGGACATCCAGCTCACCTGTAAGCTAGGCAGGGAGGCACATATTCCCTTCTCACTGTAGCACATACATTATTAGACAGAAACAGGTCTTTGGAACCCAAAATAGATACCTTGAGGCTGGACTCTTGGTCTGTGATCTTCATCAATGGCAACTTCCTCAGACAGTTGAGTTAACAGGTCATCTGTCTGCTGGACCAGACTTCTGGTATCAGGAGGTTGGTGTACCTAAGAAACAAGGAGGGCACAGGAAAAAACAAATGAGAGGGAAGTAGCATGCTCAATCAAAGGAAAAGTTTGGTGCTGAATGTATAGGATACGCTGCTGGGTCCCAACCCCAGCTCTGCCACTCCCTCAGATGTAAATGAAGTGCCATCCTCAACAGTGCCAGCCGGCAGCCCCACCGAGGCCTGTGATAACAGCTGGGTGTGCAGCACTGCCCAAAAAGGAGCATGAGGAAATGATTTCCCAGGGACAATACCATTCACATAGGCTTTGAAGGTATATATCCAACTCACTTCTCTGCAATCTCAGACTAACCACTCTGTGCTTCTATTCTTGGAATAATTAACAGGATTTTGCCCAGCTGGGATGCAGTGATAACCACGAGATACAGTTAGAAGGTAGGACTGATAAGCTCTGAATGTAGACAAGCATCTCTGAACAAATATCAGACCGCTTAGGTATACAGATGGGTTGCTAGGAAAAAACTTAGCATCTATTGTTAAAAGTAAACACAAGAACTACATTTGACATAAAGGAACATACTGCATTCAAATTGAAGCAGTGAACTGGTAAAGGCTGGCCATTTGCTTCTGGAGGAATGACACAAACAGAAAACAGATTTCTGAAGGGAGGCACCTGGACGCAGAAAAGCTGAAGAAGGAAGAACAACTAACATCCTGGGACACCGGTTACTGTTTCAGCTCAGAATATATTGCTGGCTAAAGAGCTGAGGGAGCTTACAGGTCTGGGAGCCAGGGAAGGAGGAGCTCTCCCCTGCAGGACAGCCAACCGGTCCTCCATTTCCTGTGTGGATGGAACAGGTCCCCGGCAGTCCTCCTTCAGGGCAGCCAGCCTAGCTTCGATCTCAGCCTGAGTGGGGATGGACTCTGCAATTCAGAATAACCCAAGGGAGGAGATTACTCTGTTACTGAAAACAAAAGGTTTCACATTTATTTTTCTTAATACTGTGTTTCGTTCTGGAATCAGACCCAAGCATCTGAGGAAAAACCTCCCTCAGCCCTTGATGTGAATGAGGGATCATACGGCAGTGACCCAGAGACTACCCTAACACGAACTGCTATCCTTTTCTTCCAAGTCCTTGCCTCCTTCACAGCTTATGTCCTAGACTTAAGGCAAGTATTAGAGTAATGTAATTTGACAATCAGCTAACTCTGGATACTAGGGACAAGCAGAGAAATGTCATTTAGGCAGTACAGCCCATTGCTCCCGTATCTCTTAATGTAATTCTAGGCATATCAGACTGAAACCCTCTCCTGGGTTTCAGGACGAGAGAAAACGGCCTAAAATTGTGCCGGGGAGGTTTAGATTGGATATTAGGAAAAATTTCTTTACTGAAAGGTTGACAAGCATTGGAACTGGCTGCCCAGGGGAGTAGTTGAGTCACCAGCCCTGAAGGTATTTTAAAAGATGTGTAGATGTGGTGCTTAGGGACGTGGTTTAGCAGTGGACTTGGCAGCCTTAGGTGAACAGTTGGACTCGATGATCATAAAGGTCTTTTCCAACCTAAATGATTCTATGACAATCAGGTAACCACTTTGCAATGTGTTACTTCCTTTTTAGAGATCACACACAATTTTTTAAGTAGTTTATTCTCCCACAAGCACCAGAAGTCTGTCCTAGAACCCGATAGCTGGGGACTAGGATCGGAGTCCTTTTACTCTTCTGTGAAGCGAGGCTAGCCAGAACATAACCCCACACAGACTGGCACTGCTGTTGCCTAGGACAATGACATACAGGAAACCTTCTGCAAAATAGTTTAGCCAAAACCCCTCATTTCATTCTGCTCCTATTGGGCTTGACACAGGCTTTCACTCCAAACAATGGAAAATGAGAGAGTGATTTTACAGGTAAGGTATTTCCCCAAAACTGAGAAGCAATTCAAGGGAAAACCCAAGAAGCAAAAAGAAATTGGAATGTTAATCTAAAAATCATTGTAGAATCTGGCCATTGTGGCATCAGGATGTGGATGCTCTGTCCAATTTTAACCCTTCAATTCCCTAAAAAGGCAGGCTCTGAATGCCCAGCACTTCCCTCTCCCTCCAGGTTCCACGTTTCCCAAGTAGTAGTGTTCCCACCCAAGGTACCTCCAGTATCCTCCAAAACTCACTTGGTTTCCTTTCCTCCCTGAGCCTCTCCAGTCTCTCTGCAATAGCTCTATCCTCTTTTGAGAGCCCCTGGTATCTGGAGACTGCTTGACCTGGGGGTTTTGCAGCTGCCTTCTGTTGTTCTCTCAGCTGGTTTTGCTTAGCCTCAAAAGCTGCTACACGCCTGTGACAAGGATGGAAAAAAAGACACGACAATTGAGAACAGGGATTTAAACCCTGAGATATGAAAACATCCTCTGTGAACCCAAGAGGCTATATGAAGAACATTGGTGCAGAACAGAACAGAAACCACTCCTTCCTGTACCAGGCTCGCCCATATCAGCACAGAGAGGTACTCCCAAGACTAAGGAAAACCTTAGCTCACAGGAACAGCACACCTGGCACCATTTCCTAAGAGATAAGGAACATTTCACCACCAGGTTCCTGTTTCCAAGCCAACCCCCATCAAACATAGGCAGGTGTCTCTTCAGAAGTCTATTCAAAAGTGCACACACCCCACCTCCCCAATCAAGCAAAAACCCCAAACAACAAAACAAAAGCCCCATCTGTTGGAAGTCTGGGAAAAGCAAAACAAGTGAAGAAACTGCTTAATCTAACTCTAAACAAGCAAATACCCACATCACAACCCCCGCTTTTGTTGGTCTCTATAGGGGAAGAGGAGTGAGGGCCTGAAAGGCTACTCTGCAACAGAAACAACCATCTGATTGGCAAGTGCAACTCACTTTTTGTAGTTCTCTGGTGGTGACCATTTTGCTGAACTGCTTTGAGGTTCCTCTCTGGAAGACAAGAGCAACAATTTCTCTGAACTCAAGATACTGGCAATGCTTCACTCATCTAGTCTGTTAACTCAAGAGGAATCAGTATACATTTCTCAAACTCCCGATACAGCCCCTTTCATAACCTCATTAATATGGAGAACGATCAGCTTATGGAAGGGATTAAGATAATATAGCTGCCTGGGAAAGCAGGGGACTTAATTTCTCGTCCTTTAGTCCAGTTGTTTTGCATCTGGACAAAAGGTGATTTAATATGGTCACCAGCAATCCAAAGGAGGAGGGCCTGAAACACCCTTGCCTCCCACAGTCTGCACCTCCCAATTCAGAGAGCCCATAGAGAGAGCAGTTAGGTAAGACTCCCAGTGTAATTAGCTTCCATGCAGAACACTCTGAAAAGAGCTGTGGCATGAAACAAACACACAATTATATAATGCACAAGCTAAACAAAATGTTTAAAAAATTATGATATAACCTCCAGTATCATAATGACATCTTCTAGCACACCTGAATGCTGCACACCACAAACACATCTTGTGTAACTATCTTCTACTTTGTGGTATTCAGGTTGAGCTGATAAACTACACACTTACATAAGGTAGTTGACATATTTTATTAATTCTTAGAAGTCACAGCTACAAACACATCTGCACTGTGCTATGGCCTGTATAGCAACAAATGAATGCAATGCTGTCATACAGCTTTCCAGTTCTAAGGTTTCAGTTCTGAAAGCTATTTGCATGAAGAATAACAAAATATGCAGCTTACAGAGCTGCAGACTATGTGTATTATCTACCTGCTACCCAGTCAGCGAGGATTTTTTTATGCTGTAACTCTATAGTACTGATATTAAACAGATGAGAAAATCAAAACAAAACAAACATGGAGAAAGGCTGCTCTGTTCTCTTAATGGCTTGGGATTTGTAATGGGAAATCAGGAAATTTCAAAACTGAAAGACTGAATACTGTATTTGCACCATCAATAGCTCACATTGTTTCATGAGCCAGTGCTTCTGAAATGAAGGCCCCTGCTAATGAGAGGCTCTTCTCCTTTAGACACCTGCAGAGTCAGAAAATTTCCCGCTTGCTGCTTAAAATTCCTTGCTATAGGAGAGAATTGAGGAAGAGAGGTAAGAGAAATGCTAGAGAAGGAAGAGGACATGGAAGAATTGGTTGAGAGGGGTTGTGGTGTACACTTGTGCTCTTGTGTCACTTGTTCACCTGTATAACCCATACTGCTACTGAAATACATTTTTTTTTGTTTTCAACAGGCAATCTACAGGTTATGTTTGCAAATATTTTCTTTACTTTTAAAAGCAAACTGATTTTAGGCTACAAAATTTTAAGTCTTTGGGCTACGCATAGCTGAGATCCCTCAACAATGAGCATTTGTGTCACTGTTTGCCTGCAGAGGTAATAACACTTTGAACATCTTATTGTCAGGCCATTTAACTACCACACATCTGAAAAGACTGCCAGTGCTTTCAAAGAGGTGTAGATTTCTGGGCAAAAACACAGTGGATCTTAACCTGGTCTCATCTATCTAAGATATCCACAGGCATTCACTGCACATCCATTAAGATTTAAACCTGGTTCTTTCAGACTGTCACCACAAAGAACAGCCTCACAAATCCCAATTCCTATGTCTGGACAGCACAGCTCATGTAACAGCAGTTCAGTAACGGCCTGGCTTGAAACTCCAGGGCACAGGCAGCGCGCACACACAAGTGCAAGGCACAGCTCTCACACAGAAATCCGCAACCCAGCCCTGGGATGCTAAATGAAAAAACAAAGCAGGACACTGTCTTTGAGTGAAGATGGTCTTACCCAGTTAGTTTTCCGTGGCATTGCTTGCACACCTTCTGCTGAGCGCTTCCACAGCGGGGAACAACAGCACTGAAGCTAAGGCAGCCCAAGCAGAACGACCGTCCACAGTTTTTGCATCCACACTGCGGAGATACAAGAGGGGGGCAGGACAAGGTTTTGTCACTTAGTCACCATACACACCCCCATTGCTCTGGCTGGCCACACACAGGAACAAGGCCCTTGCCAAGGTGTGCTAAAAGCAACACTGGGGTGATGCTGATTTTTGAAGAGAACTGTATCATTAGCTGATGGTGATACGGAAACTCTTGAGAGCCTTTGAGCACCAGCACATAACTCCTGCTGAAGGCAGAGACGCCATTTCAACCCATAAGATAATAAAGTGGTGTGGGGGGAATTCTCCCTCAAATATTAGAACAAGGGGATGGCATCCAATGACAAATTCTCCCTTGAATATTGGAATGGCATCCAGTGACGATTTTTTTTTTTTTTCCCCTGCAGTAATCACGCATATTTAAGGACATATTGAAACCAGGCACCCCCATCAAGGCTTAATTGAGAAATAAGCAAGGGCAGCAACGCCCGAATAGATGCTGGGCGGGAAGCGTGGCTCGGCGCCGGGCGAGGCGGGTCCCCGGCTCCCCCCTCAGCCCCTCGCCCTGCGGGGGAGGCACCCGCGGGACCGGCCGGCCCTGACCCCCCCCCTCAGCCGGACTTGCCTCTTTCTTGAAGACAGAGAACTTGGACGCACAGCCATAGCACCGGCTATCCATGGCGTTACCGGAGCACCGCCCGGCGCCAAGCTCCGCGGTTCTCCCCCACAAGGGCCCTTTAGCCGCCGCAGCCCCAAAGCGCGGCAGCCAGCCGGGGCTACCGGCAACGGGGAGGCCGAGGCACCGACCGCCCGCCCCTCGCCCAGCCGGCAGCACGGCCCGATGGGAGCTGTAGTCCTTCGAGCCGCCTCCAGCCGGCACTCGGCCGATAAAACTACGCTGTCCAGGGCTCCGGGAGAAACGCGTCGCTGCCCGGCGCCCGAAAACACCCGGTTGTACGGCGCGATGCGTTGCGGTACCCGTCAGGCTGGGGGGCGCCCGTGCCCGCCGGGAGCGCGGGCAGGCGCCATTTCCCGGCCGGCACGGCGCCGGGGCTGAGGGGCCGCTGAGCCTCAGGGCGATGGCGGCGGGCCGGCCGGCGCTCGCGGGGCTGGGCAGCGCCTGTCCCCTGCGCCCCCGCTCGCCGGGGAGGGCGCGCACAGGGCGGGCGGCCGCCGGCTCGGCCCCGCTGGCCGCGGCCTAGCCGTCTTCCTCGGGCGTTCGCGGCCCCCGCGTTAGCGAAAGGCGCGGCCGCTTTAGAAGGGGGAGAGGGAGGACGGGCAGGCTGGGTGCTTTCGCTGGATTCTCGTTGTGCGGTTAAGCAGCTGCTTTGCAACAGTTTCATTGTGGCAGCTGTACACCCGTGTCCACCATGCTCCTAGTACAGCAGACGTTAGTTGGATGTTGCATTTTTGCCCACCAGCTGTCACTGGGTGTTAATAAGACAAAAAAAAAGGTGTATTCTCTAATGCTGACAGGGTTGTGCTCAAGTTACTCTGTTTTTTTTCCTTAAACCTGTGGTAACATCGTTCGGAAGAGCATGAAATCAGCTGAAGTGCAAAACACCCGTTATCCCCAGCCAATACCTCTGCCAGTGTTTGCGTGCCTTCAGAAGTGAATGTCCTACAGTGTTTGTAAAAAAAAACCCAAAACTTAATGAGTGTAGTTCTGGGTACCATTGGTTCATATGAGTCATCTTGTTAATCGCATAGGTTTGCAATTACATTTTGCATTCTTTCCAGTTTAATAGATAAATCCACACTAAAAACCTACACAATTAAATTAGGAAACTGATCTACTAAAGAAAGAAAGACTCATTAGTATCTGAACAAAGCTAAAATCAAAGAAAAAATATTGGGGTTTTCCCTCTCAAGATTTTTTTTTGCCTTTTTTTTTTTTTTAATAGTGAAGAACATTAGAAAGGCAACTGTATAAAATTTGGAAGCTAAGCTTTGCACCTGCCCAGCAAATGTATTAGAGACCACCTGGAAATTCCTGGTACTGTAAGCATAAAGGAGGGAATTGAGACAAATCTAAAACAGATTTTTCTCAAAGAAAAGACTCAATTTGATATTGTCTTCACTATTGAGCTTGTGAATTGGAAAAGAGGAAGAGGAAATTTCAGTGTTATAATGCAACCTACTGATTGACAGGTGTAATTTGGAATGCCACTCCAATACAAAACAAGCAGTGACCCAGAGAACCTTCCTATTCAGAGAGCACTACCAGCAGAGGCACACAGGAGGGAGCAAGACAGTTAAAGAAATCAAACTTCCCTGCTTAGAAACGCCTCAGCTGAATTTGAAGGATGGAACTGAGAGTTGTGAACAGGGAGGAGAAGACCTTACCCTCTGGAGAAGGGGAAGGAGGGACGGTGATGTTCCCATGCTGGTGCCCACCAGAGGGGGGCCGGCCCCCACGGTCCTCCCAGCTCCTGCTCCAGAAGGCCATTTGGCAGTTGTTGCACATTAAGTTGTACGTTCTCTGTCCTACATAGCTATAGCTGCAAATGCTATGTTCTTCTCTAGCTTGCTTTGAAACTGTGCCCCGGTGTATTAGACTTGGCCTTCATAATCTTGGGGATTGATTACTATAAGGAAACACATCTAGGAGTAAAACTTTTAGTCTGAAAAAGTTCAAATTAATTCAAAATGTGGCCATCTGCCTACTAAGTCTCCCAGGCTGAAATGTTTCTCCTTGAAGTTCAGTGTAATAAAAAGGGCAGATCATCCCCACAGTGAAATTGAAAACTGAGTTTCAGTACTCTCTTGCTGTTTCCACAGGCTCATTTTCTTCTTCTAGATGAGGAACCAACTGTACTATCTGCATGCCAAAAGCTGCCCATATTTTCTCTCAAGGCATGAGGGGTATGGGTCCTGAGGGGTATGGGTCATGTGAAGAGTGAAGTCAGGACCCTGAATTTTAGGAAATCAAAATTCCAGCTGTTCAAGGATCTAGTCCGTAGGACCCCCTGGGAAACTGCCCTCGGGGACAGAGGAGCAGAACAGAGCTGGCAGATCTTTAGGGATGCTTTCCATAGGGCACAAGAGCTCTCGATCTCCAGGTGTAAGAAATCAGGAAAGGAAAGCAAGAGACCAGCATGGTTGAGTTGAGACCTGCTGGTCAAACTAAAGGGCAAGAAGGAAATGGACAGGCAGTGGAAGCAGGGACAGATATCCTGGGAAGAGTACAGGGATGGGGTCAGGAAGGCCAAGGCACAGCTGGAGCTGAACTTAGCAAGGGATGCAATGAATAATAACAAGGGCTTCTACAGGCATGTCAGCCAGAAAAGGCAGGTCAAAGAAAGCATACCCCCCCGATGAACACAACTGGCAAACTGGTAACAATGGACGAGAAGGCCCTAGGGAGACCTTATTGCAGCCTTTCAGTGTGGGAGCTTATAAGAAAGATGAGGCCAAACATTTTAGCAGGGCCTGTTGCAATATGACAAGGGGTAATGGTTCTAAACTAAAGGAGGGTAGACTTACATTAGATAAAAAGAAGATTTTTTTTTTTTATAGTGAGGGTGGTGAGGTGCTGGCCCAGGTTGCCCAGAGCAGCTGTGGCTGCCCCCTCCCTGGAAGGGTTCAAGGCCAGGTTGGATGGGGCTGGGAGCACCCTGGGCTGGGGGAAGGTGCCCCTGCTCATGGCAGGGGGGTTGGAACTAGATGACCTTTAAAGGTCTCTTCCAACCCAAACTATTCTGTGATTGTATGTCTGGAGTTCTAGTCACGCAAGCAAGCACCATCTCAACCGCAGTTATTTACTTATGTAAGGAAAATGTGTTTCAAATTAAACACAAAAACCCCAACCTATGAGTAGTACATTTTTTGTGTGTTTCTGTAGTGCTTTATTCCAGGCTGTTTTTCTCCTACAGCAATAATTAACAGCGCTCTCTTTTGTTTCTTACAGATTACAAAAGCATACCACTCACAGGCCCCCATTTGCCTCCCAGAGAGGAACCTGGGCAGTCCCAAAGCAGGTGAGATTGGAATACATGGAAACAAACACTGTTGTCTCTTCCACATGCACAGGCTTGTGAAAGTGGATCTCTCTTAGCACAGATCTGGTTTTGTACACAATTAAGGTAATACCTGTTTGTATCATGAGGTATATACATATATAGGAACACATATGTATTCATCACTGCTAGATACCTCTGTTTAAGGTTGAATCCTTACATGTTGGATGCTAACTTTCATTAGAACCTGTCAAAATCCTCCTATGGTGGTATGTGAATCCTAAACTTTTAGCTATATTGTCCGTTGTGTCTACTGGCTGGTCACTCTTAATTCATATATCTCTGAATATAAATGTTAATAGCAAGCTTATAAATTGTTTTTATATATGGGCAATGCCTGGTGTGGGAAGATTATTGTCTGTTAGATGCAGGTCCCCTTACACTGTGCAGTTGGGTACACCTAAGATCTTAGCAGGGTTTGTGAATCCTACAGCTTCTCCGTTTAAGATTCACAATGAACTGTGGGTGAAAATGAGCAGCAGTCATTAAAAGAAGGATGCCATTCATCAGGATGCTTTGTGTCCTGCATTTTCCTGTTTGGTGGGCCCTAGATTTATAGATGAGTAATGTATCACTAAAGTGGAGACAGCTGGCAGAAAACCAGAGATTTTAGCAATAATTAGAGGAAAGCTGAAGGTTTTGATGTCTGCAGAGGTTCAAGAGGTGGTTTGGAGCATGTGTGGAAGCTCCAGCTAATGGGCGTATCCCTTAAGGAAAGCTGTTAACAAGGACCCCTAATAGAACTCATGAAAAGCAGAATCTTTAGATCTCAGACTGAAAAGCCTTTCTTATGAAAGAGAGAATTTATTCATCACATTATATCTCAGCCTGTCTGTACATTCAGGAATGCATTTCTACATCATTACTGTTGAAGGGCTTGCTTGCAAATAAGGCACCCTGATCGAGTCACGCGGCCATGTCTCAGGCTCCTCCTTAAAACCATATTTCTTGGGACACATTGCAAGACTGGTATTCCTGTATGCGATACTTTGCTGTTTCAACCTGTTCGTGCTCCCAAACACGGGTGAACATCAGAACACTGGACCTATATAGAGCCCCACATCGGGCCATGAGAAGGAAATCTAAACTAACACTCAAGTTAAAGCTGTTCAGCACTGTATATTTAAAATAGGGACCCATTCAACTTTGTATACAGTAATAGTCGTCACAGGGTTATTTCACACCTCCATGAATGTTCTCAGACTCAGGGAGAAGAATTAGCTTTTGTAAAGTCTGAAGTAAAGGTTAAAAGTAGAAATAGAGTTTAATTTTCTGTTGTGCTGCTGAAATTGTTACATCCTCCAAAGAGGTGCCAATCTAAATATTGAGCCAAATTAAATGAAGGAATAATTATAGCCAGAAGATAGGAGCTTGTAAGAACTACAAATATTTGTTGCCTGTTGCACATGCACTTTCCCACCATGAATCAAGCAAGTTCTAGACCCTGATGTCCACAACTTATCAATTACCTTTCTTCTGAGGGTGAAAATTAACCAGTGCTAAAAAAAGGAAAACATTAAAGATCCTAAAAAAACCCTACAAAACCAAAAGTCAGCATAATTCAAAATTTCCTTGTCTGCCTTCCTAGGACCAGGAAAACAAATTGGCATTTTCTACATGTTCTTTTTCACAAAGGCATAATTGTAGTAAGAACTTTTTTATTTATTAGATTTTGGCATCAGCATTTAGTTCAGAATACATCAAGTCAAAACAAAGTGTTAGCTGCCTACAGTGGTGATTTCTCTCTCTTCAGACAACTCTTCAAGGGTGGAAGATTTCTGTCTACAGATAAGGTACTTCACACCTAATATGTTCTCCAAAGTTACTGGCTTCAATGGACTTTGCATTAGGTTTTCAGGCCTCATTTAAAAACAAAAAATGGTAATACCCCCTGGACAATTTCAATACCTGACTCA